GATTAGTTTTAAATGTGTGCGCTATTTTTATATATATATATATATTCATATACGCTAAAGAAATGAAGTACGTTATAAAATTTTAAATCTTAACACTTTATAAAAAATATTATAAGACTAAGTTTTAAAATTCTAGATCCAAACTGCTCAAAATGTTGATCTTTGTTTCTAAATAGACCGCCATTTTTATAGCCATTAGCAGGTGACTCAAATTTTACATAATTGCTAGCTTCGGGCAAACTATATGTAAATTCAAAGTGTTTATATTTTTCATTTTCTTAATATTATCACTGAATTATGTTTTTATTTCTAAAAAAGTTATGAATAATAAAAAATATATAAATGAATATATGTGTATTTAAAAAATTCAATGATCTGTTTAGATATTTAGAAAAATAAACGAGATTTCAAATTAGTATATATGAGAAATGGGAGATTTCTTTTAGTTATCAAATCTATACTCGAATTTTATCAATTTACAAGCAGAATATTCGGTATATATAGCAATATTATATATCAAATATAAAAATACTCAAACATATATTTATGCGACAAAATTAGCCTGCTTATATTGGCAAATGCCGTGTTTTAATGTATAACTATTTTTATTAAAATATTTTATAAATGGTAAAGTTTATTATTTTTCATATTAATGTTTTCTTTATAAACATTATACAGTAATTAATGAAATGACTTTATAATATCTTTGAGACAAAAATGCTTATATCAAAAGATTTATTAAACTTCTGTTATTGTTCATAATTATAAAATTTAAATTTTTGTCTTTTTTTATAGAAAATATATCTTAATATTTTCCAAACGATTTAAATTTTCAAGAAAATGCAGAGCGCGTTTTGCGTAAAAATTAACGAATATTTAATTTGTGTAATGGAATTGCTAATTTAAAAAAATCCAAATGAAGTTTTTTTTTCTAACGGTTATGGATGCTTTTGTCATCTCTATAATAAAATTCGAACTGATTTAGTTCTGAGTTCTAAATTTTAGTAAGCATGTATGAATTCTCAAATATTAATATAAAATATCTGCTCTACAATAAGTTATACTAAAAATACACAAATGTCATAATATTCTCTCTATATATATATATAAACTATCGCAAGAAAAAAAAAGCCATATAGTACGGTTAAATTTACGATTTCGAAAATCATGAATTAAAAAAGGCTTATAAAATTACCTTTCGAATCTTTTATGTAGATATTTATCAATAATTTTATTATAACAATAAATTATTATATATTACTTTTTGGCTTTTAAAAAATAATATGTCAAAAACAAAACCTATTCAAAACAAACTTGATAAGAAAATTAAACATTAAAATTATTATTAATAAAGTATAAGCAAGTGTTGCCTTTGTTATTTTAATATTCGCAGCTTATTGATTTCATAGAATATAAGAAAAATGTGTATTTTAAAAATAATGAATGAATATTATATTTATTTCTATAACTATTTAAAATTATTTTGAAGTACTTTAATACCCCAAAAAGAAAATTGTTTCATATTTGATATACGCCTGACGAATATATATTTTAATAAAACAGACTAAAAATTTTATAACGACTCCATTTTTGTGATAAATATTTAGTATTACACTATTTTATATTTAAGAAAATCTTATTTCTTATCGCGATTTGAGATTGAAATTGAAAATTGTTAGGCTTGCTAAACAAATAAGAATTGTGGTATTTTAACAATGGCGCAATATATAAAACAAAATTTTATATTTTCCATAAATTGTCGAAATAATTGTTGAATATTGCGGAGAAAAGCACACATTTATATGAATTATTCAAAATTGTTATTTTCCATTATTTTATTTGTTAATTTCTTTATCATTCTTTATTATTATATTTCCCATTATGCACGTTATTTTGGTGTGGTAAAATGTGTATCAAATAAACACAACAATAATTTTTTACATTAACTTATTCATAATTTATTTAATAAAGCTTTTTATGAATTTTATGTGTGAAATATGTTTTGTCTCAAAATATTTTGGGATTAAAAAGGTAATGATATTCGCAACTTTTTATATTTTAATATATAACATAAAGTTTCGGGAGGATTTAATATATAAAATAAAATTTAAAAGTTGAGGCTAAACCTTTTCCTTTTTTTAATTAACGAATTCTCAATCCTCACAATTAACTATTTAATAATATATTTTTTATCAATTTAACATTATATTATTCAGAGCATCGTTTAATGATATTTTGATTGTGAAAGATTGTCCCTAAAAAAATTAAATGTAGCAAAAATAATATTATACTGTACTGAAATCGGAATATAAACATTTTATCTGGTTGCCTCTGTTGGAAAAAAAGAAGAATAGTAAATCAATGATCTTGAAATACTTTTAGACTGACAACACTGTAATATAAAAACTAGAACAAAGGAGTGTTGGTTTTGTTTTACAAAATTAGTAATTGTAATGTAAATTGTTAAATGTACTTTTCTATCTCTCTTTGAAAATAATAAATTTAAAATACTTTCATAAAAGGTAAAATCGCCTAATTCTTTAAAACCACTTCAGCTGTAAGTAAACTTGTTATTTGTTGTTTCATTGTCTGAACCATAAAAGATTCCCAACAGCCTCTACTCTAATGACTCAAGTGTACGGCTATACAATTTGATCTTAAGTTACACTTCACAGATTGAAGCTGTGAATTGCCCTCAAAACTGAACAGTATATATAAGATGAAAACAGTTTTTTAAATAAATCATTTATATCAACTTATTAATATTTAATAGTGGTTGACGTTTTAACGACTTGCTATCGACTCTTTCTTGAAGCTCTAATTTAAAAAGTGAAACGTTTGACAAAATCTAATGATATTATTTACATGGATTTTTATTAGTAGGTATATACAGAAACTAAATATATAAAATATTAAACTACTATTTCCAGTTACTCTCTAAAGGGTTTATGATTCAATTCTCTGATTTTGTGTTCAGAAGAAGCAGTCCAGGAGGTCTTGAACCCAGACCAGACTTCCAATGATGCAAACCAGAAGATTCTGGAACTTACTGAAGAAACCCGAATGAAGTTTGCGGATATTAACCAGGCGATGCATGGTCTGATTGCTCGAATGGGTGAGTGAATGAATGTTCTAGAGAAAATAATGTTACCATTTTTTTTTATATTCCTCTGAATTTATATTTACAATTCTCTCTATTTTCTATAGTTGTGTTAGATTTACATAATTTTTTTTCTATATGATAATTTTTTAAACAAATGATATCATCAATGTTTTTGGCGTTATATATAGAGAGTAACGTTGAATGTTGTTTTCCAAATTTTTCCTTTTGCGAGATATACACATCCTGTATGTGGAACCTTTATAGGGAAGCGAAGAAACTTTTAAACGCACTCATATTATCAATATTCATCCAATACTTACGAACCATTTCCAGACTATATATCCCTGATAAATTATATTTTTGTGTTTTCATTAATAATTAAATTTTAATTATTTTTACTTTATCATATATAAATATTCTCTCCATTGTGCATGTTCTGTTCAAGTTTTTCAGGAGGAATGATGTGCTGTAGAGCGACTGGAACAGATGATGAGTCAGCATTTAGACCACCATTCGTCAACTCACGACTCGGGGTCTCACAGGCACGACTCTCAGCCTCGCCAATATGACTCCCACCATTTCCACCACCAGGAGGAGTGGGATCACTCTTCTCACCAGCATGACCACTCGTCCCATCATGACGACCACACTCCACACGACCACTCATCTCATAATGATGACCACACTCCGCACGACCACTCATCTCATAATGATGACCACACTCCGCACGACCACTCATCTCATAATGATGGCCACACTTCGCACCAGGATGACCACACTACTCATCAGGAAGACCAACAAGAAGACCTCACACCACATCAACACATCCATCATCACAGCTCGGACGTCCACTCTGCCGAAACTATCAGTCACGAAGACAACCATCCTCACGGGAATGAACCAACATTCCATTTCTATCATAGCAAAACGAATACTATCAATCATGATTCTTCCGACCACCATTCAGATGAAAATGACCACGATTCACCAGCAAGCTCAACACCCGCACCAGCAGTTGAACCACCATTCACGAAAACCCGTACTTGGCAGACAGGTCTCGGTGATGGGCAACGTTCACGCCCCCAAGAACGGAATGACCCCAATATAGACGGTAGGAACTTCATCCATGGGGCTGAAGGCAACACCTTGGTGTGGGTTAAACGCCACTCAGTCCTTCAATGCTACCACTAAAGGTCGCGGCGGAACCCGTATCTTCCACCACAGACAAACCCACCGTCACGGTACCTCCCATGGTCGCCGACCTAGCAACCCACCTGTCCGCCATGCCACCTACTTCAAACATGGGAACCACTTCCATCTGATTGCTAACGTCAACTTTGATTGTAAGTACCCTTTTTCAAAATATATCTATATCAATAAATGTATGTCAAATTTCGTACAACGAGCAAAATACCACATTACACATGTATAAAATTTAAAAGAGCCATCTATAATTTCGAAATATATGTTTTAAAATTCCGCAATATTTACAAAAACAACCTTTTACGTCGTTTTTCCATCTCATTTTTCAGAAATAATTATTCAAATAGGAAAATTTGGACACGTCCTTTCACTTTTCTAATTGCTAAAAGTTTTTTGACTATGTACAGAAAACATCCTTTGGACTATCATACATAGTGCTACCGCGGTTTGTTTAGGATGAAGATATTTTTATTGCAAAAATTTGTTTTAAATTTTAATGTGCATATTGTGCTATAGGTTATATTTCAAATTTGTTCTCCATAAAAGCCCCTTGACTTTCTTGGAAGGGGGGGAGCTTTAATCGAAAGATTGTTTAAAGTAAAAAAAGGTTTATTCATAGTTTCTTAAAACATTGTCAGCAAGCTGAGCCATATAGACAATAGAGATATATAGACAGAACAAGTTGTTCCTGTCTATCACCATACTATTTTAAAAATTCCAGATTTTGTCTGATTACAGAAGTTAAGAAACTTTGGCCCTGGCAGTACTTGGGATGTTAAGAAATGCAATAGTTGCGGATTCTAGTAGATTGAACTGGCCTAAACTCTGATGAGCCAGGTATTCCCAATATTTTTCATATTCGTGATTGTGACAGTATCAGAATATCAACGCAAAAATCTTTATTCCGTTTAATATATTGTTGATTTAGAGGTATAATTATATGGTATTCTTATGTAGAAAAAACATTCTTTCCTTAAAAAAAACGTCTTGATATCTTGCTCCACTCTGGTAAGCCGCTGAGGTACAGCCTGCGTCAACAGCTCAAAAGGCAAACATGATTGTTTTTCTTGATTTATATATGATATTCTAAAATAAAAATAAATAAACGTTTATTTGATATTTTTTATAGATGACTTAAGCATCCATAAAAAAAAATATGTTGTTTTTTTCATAAAATTTTACTCTAAACAATTTCCTTCTTCTTATTCTTTCTTATCTTCTCTCAATCATAATAGGGTATCAAGCTTGTAAAGCTTGAGATCATGACTGGGTGAAGTAGAATGCGTTTGCCTTTGTCATTAAGACTGGGAGCACTACTCAGTGGCAGGCCGACTTAGCTCCAAAAGAAATGGCCGCCTCTGACATGAAGAACAGACGCCATGTGCAGCCGCTCCTAACATGGAGTACAAACGCTGCTCATCCTGTATCCCTGGATTTGGAGCCCTTACAGGGTACTATCAGCCGGGCCAGCTGAACCCAGGTTTTTTAGTGAGCTTGTTACTGCTCCCCCTCCTTCATCCGGGCTTGGGACCGGCAAAGGCGGAGTTAAACAATTTCCTGTTTGTTAGAAATGAGAATATATCAAGACTACGTCTAGTGTAGACTTTGTGTTTGATATCAGCATAGTGATCATTATATTAGAGTATACTCATGGACAAGACACAAGTTGTACTTATTAGCATGTATATAAATATATTTTGTTATATTATTTATTTTTTTAAGGAGAGCGTTCGAATTTACATGTATGGAAAATCCACCGTTATATAGGCAAATAAGAGTAGTTTCTGCTTAAGATATGAATTTCCTTAAGTTTTGTCCATTAGTGCACTTCATTGTGTCCATCAGGATCTGAAATGCTGATCAAAGAAATCATGCTGCCGAGAAACGTCATGGATAATTTACATATCTAGATTCCCCCTACCAGTTTACCCCTGTATTCCTCTATCCTACAATATATTAATCCACATGAGTGAATGCCAAACAGCATTCTTTCTTTTCCGCCCATGCCTGTTCGCTAATATATGAAGGCTATTCCCCTCTTTCTCTTCATCGAATCCCTTTCTCGCCAATTTCTTTCTTCTTTTGAGTAAATCTCGTTTTCTCAATTTTTGATTGGTCTTCCCCTGGAACTAGTGTCTGATCGCTATATTGAGCAACCACCATTAAAGAACTCTCCAATCATTGTTCTAACTCTGTGAAGCCGACGACTACCTGTGGGGCACCTGCGACATGAAGCCCAACCGCGCTCTTCCACCGGAGCTTCAGCAGAACGTCACCGGCCGCATCAACCTCTGGCAGCACGTGAGTCTGTACTTTTGTCTATGCTTTGGTTGGTTGCAATACTCCTTCAACTATCTCTATATAGCCGCAGATGTTTAGCTAAATGCCACACTAGGGTATGGGAGGGGGGGGGGCACATATTTTGTGCAATATATTTCAAGTTACGTATTTTTTTGCGTGTGATATCGAGTATTATACACTCGATTGTTTGAATTTAGATAGGAGCTGGTCTAGAGAGGGCCAAGAACTCTCGGGAGACGTCGAGTGTAGATATACATTGGTCTACCATTGCCACTGAGAAAGTTTGAATGTAGATAGGAGCTGGTGTAGCGAAGTCTCCCTAACGACGTCGAATGTGTCTGACTGTAGAAGACCGATGGATTCCTGCACCTCCACCTGAACCTGACCGGCTTTGCTCGAGGCGGCTCCCACCTGCACGGCTTCCATGTGCACGACGTGCCGAACATGACCCAGGGGTGTGAGATGGTGGGCGAGCACTTCAACCCACACGGCCAGAACCACGGATCCCCCGAGTCTACGGAGCGGTGAGCTCCACAAACATCTCTCGTGTTGTATGAGAGGGAAATGGCTACAAGACTCGAGATGGATTCTTACATAGAATTCTAATTATATGATCACTGAAGAAAAAATATACATAGGGGTCAACATAATGTTGCGGGAGGGTGATATTCATGTACCAAAAGAGGCACCTCTCCCTTTAAATATGTATCGTTCTGATGCATAATTAAAGGGAGATATGCCTTAAAAGAGGCAAAGGTACATGCATAGGTGTATTTAGAAATTAATATAAAATTACCGATAAGTATTTATTCTCTATTGTGAAAAAGTAAGCTTTATAGCAAAGAAGCTTTTCAAAGGCTTATCAAAGCTATGTAATTAGACCATTTTAGAAAATATTTCCCCCATAGCCTTGATAAGCCTGTAGAAGATCGTCTTTGCTCGAGTTCGGTTCTTCACTATAAAGAATATACTCATTGGTAAATTTCTAATAATTTATATAAAACTATTAACATTTTTCCTAATATACATTAATGTGATAAACTTTTTTAATGAACAAAAAATGTTTTTTTTTTTAAATAAAGATACTTCGACCAGTAAATCCTTTTATAAAAAATGATGAAAATAAAAAGATTAACTGGCCGAAGTATCTTTATTTTCAAGAAATATGAATGCCGGCCAGGCAGCCTCTATCTTTACGAACAAAAAATGATTATAATGAAATTAAAAATCTTAAAATTACAAGACAAAATTTGATCAAATATGTTTACAAGCATGATCATCAAACCAAATTAAGTGTCGTTCTCTTTTTTCGTTTTTACATATTACTATCTCTCAATATTTTTTAAAATGCAACAGGTTTCTGGAGAGACGAGTTTCTTTACATTTTATCAGTATATTCTAAAGCTTTCAGGCATTTCCGCCCTTCAACGGAAGTACAAAACGAATAATAATAAACACCAGTATTTGAAATTACAAATATATTCTCACAATGAGTATCTTTTTTATTTAAAAAACACTAGCTTTCAAGCGTTAACTTCGCTCTTCAACGGGCTTACTATAATATCGCGCGCAGCTTTTGTTTTTGTAAATATTTCTGGTGGGAAATAGTCGATATTATAGTAAGCCCGTTGAAGAGCGATTAACGCTTGAAAGCTAGCGTTTTTTAAATAAAAAAAGATACTCATAATGAGAATATATTTGTAATTTTAAAACTTTTTTCACAATTTTATCATGAATAAACATCAGTATTGTTAATATTTGTCTTTATATTCCTGTAAAAGGGCGGGAATGCTCGAAAGATTGAGAATATACTAATGAAATGTGAAGAAACTCGTCCCCGGAAACCTGTTGCATTATTTTAAATTTATTATAGAACGACATTTGAAAATTATACCGCAAATGTTTCTTTTGAACGAAAAATCGAAATTTATTTTAAAGAGAAATAAACGATTATTTCTAACCTTAGGGATGAAATATGAAAGGATGAATTGTGAAGAGTAATGATAAACGGAAAAATAAAGTGCCCAGGGATGGGAATCGAACCCCGTTTATCCGTTTGGAATCCGTTTATCATTACTCTTCACAATTCATCCTTTCATACTTTATCCCTAAGATTAGAAATAATCGTTATTTATCCTTAAAATATATTTCGATTTTTCATTCAAAAGAAACACATGCGGGGTAATTTTCAAATGTCGTTCTACAATCATAAGCCGCATTATATATATTGTATTTGAATTTATATACAGGAGATTTTCATATCTATCTTATGTACAGTCAAACTTGGATAATTTGAAGCCCAAGGAACCAGAAAAAAAATCGAATTATCCAAAAATTCGAATTAAAAACGGAAATTCTATTTATAGGAAATTCTAGGGACCAAGATAAATATTCGAATTGAGGACGTTGGAAATATCCAAGTTCTACTGTATATGCAAATTTCTTTTAATAATCCTTTAATAATTGTAAAAGTAATATTTTGTTTGTTTTCCTTATCTTTTGAACACCAGTGTGCAGAAGAAGAAAATCCTGTACATATTCTAACGGACTGTCGACTTGTAGAGGACTTGAGAGTCAAAAATCAAATAAATATAAATTGTCTAAATCAAATAGTTAATAATAGATATATGTATATAAATTTTAATAGATTTTGTAGAATGTTTTTTTTAGTAATAGATAGCCTGGGCTGTAATAACTGGTATATAGTTATATGCTGTAAATAGCTCTAAATTTCTGTTCCTATCTATGATGTTCACTAATATTCATTATAGGGTAATTAAATCGTTAACTAACTGACAAATATGTTAATAATTTCTATTATAATAACTAAAATCATATGAATAATTACTGTAAATAAGCTCCCAAACTTGTGTATGCATGCAAATATCCAAGACGGATATCGCGTGCTTTGTAAATGATAATAAAATAAATAAGTGTCGATGATTATGCTCCTCTGTGTTCCCCCAGCGACAATAATAAACTCACAGAGAGAATAAGTGATACATAGCTTCTGTCTTAGAAGATGTCACAGTTTAATCAACGTACAGATTCTGAAGTGAAGGTATTGTGTGGGGCAGACATGTGGGAGACTTGGGTAACATCAAATGTGACCCGAGCGGCCATCTCAATGGCTACCTACTGGACAACATGGCCTCGCTGCGACTTGGAATGAACAACATTGTGGGGCTCCCTCTTGTGGTGAGTTCTTATACTATTTTCATTTAGGTTATACCACCTCTTACTTTCTGCTTGCTTCTTCGGGAGGTCGCCAGACGTTGCCCCGGATTGTTTTGTTTACATTTAATGACGTCCTCTGTGATCTAACCTTACCTAACGTAACCTAACTAAGTCCTCAAATGTAAAAAAGATGATCTAACCCATGATCTCTAAGATGTGTGTGTTCAGAGAAAAAACATATTTAGTATTTTTTCTAAGAAAAGCGGTCTGGTAGATTAAATTAGCGAAACCGCTGGGAGGGTTCACCACTGATGAACCAAGTCT